CAGTGATTGATCTTCCTTATCAGTGATGGGTCATTTAACGGCCTTTCTATTCTTCATTATAGTTAAATGCAGTTTAAAGGTAGAACCAACACTCTTGACTTACAGTTAATTCATAGATTTGTTTAAGAGGATAAAAGGATGATGTTTCAGAATGTATAAATGTTGGAAAAAAAGATTTGATTCTCAACACCATGACTTTGCCCATTAAATTATACACATATTTTGAGTACTTTATTTCCTCATATTTAATTAGAAATATATTTCTCATTCAATCAATTCGGTTCTCACTTCATGACAAGGCAAAAAAAAAAAAAAAAAAAAAAAAAAAAACCTGGAAACATCTTCATTAAAAATTGTAAAATAAAAAAAAACATTTAATACAGTGTAAAACAGTTAAATAAACAATTTTTGAAATTAGAGCTTTTAGCAAAAATAAGCAATTCAGCCAACGAGCAGAAAAAAAAAAAATTTTCAGTGCACAAAATTTACTTATGGGCTCTTTGTGCAAAATGACTCTGAAATTGGTGCACCAACTGACTTCATTCACTCCACTACTAAGAGTTTAAAATGTAAACAAATGGCTACCAAATTAGGCTTCTAGCGCAACTTACACCTTTAAATTGTTGATAATTCTACAACTATTGCATAGAGATTAACTAAAGGCATAAAAACCTTAACCAGAATGAAGGAGCAACATAATTATGTTATTTTATAGCAAAAAATACACAGTTTACCAATATATAAGACTAAAAAAGCAAACTGTTGAGCTGGGTAAGAGAGTGGCTGTATGTATATGCGTATACATATACAGTGGGTACAAAAAGTATTTGCACACATACATTTTTGTTCACAATTTATAACAAAATGCATTAAGAAATACAAAAATTGGCATTTAAAAAATAGAATAAGCTTATTCATTTAAATTAATTACAAAAAATACAATAATATTAATAAAAAACATTTTTTGCAACAATATTAAAATAGCTTATGTCAAAAAAGTATTTGCACACTCTCAACTCAACTTTAATCAAATTTGCATTTTTATGCTACTATTTGACAGTCATCCCGCAGTAAATAACATACGTAAGACGACTATAAAAGGAGGTGTTGTCGAAACGTTATCAGTTGATTGTCGATTTCAAATTGTAATGGCACCTAAGAAATCTGAATTGCCGATTTCGTTGCGAGAAAAAAATTGTTTCTTCTCTACGTGAAAATGGCCTAAATTATCGAGAAATAGGTAAAAAAGTAAATGTTTGCTTCTCTACTGTTCGGTATATTATAAAACGTCATAAAGAAAGAGGATCTACATCAAATAACTTGCGCTCTGGACGCCCAAAGAAACTTTCACTGCGAATAAAGCGAAAATTCATAAGAGAAGCATCGAAAAATCCATTTGTTAGTGCAATTACTTTAGCCAATGATGTCGCTTCAACATCTGGAGTTCAAATCTGTGCCCAAAGTGTTCGAAATGTCCTGCACGATGCACATATTTATGGGAGATCTCCAAGGAAAAAACCTCTCATAACTGAACGAAATAGACTGAAGAGACTTGAATTCGCTAAGGAATATATCAATAATGCCAATTGATTTTTTGGAAAAATGTCATATTCTCCGACAAGAGTAAGTTCAATATCTTTAAATCAGATGGCAGGAAATTAGTTTGGAGAAACCTTGTACTGCTTTTCATACCAAAAATGTGTTTACCTACAGTTAAACATGGAGGAGGTTCTGTTATGATTTGGGGGTGCATGGCTAGCAAAGGAGTTGGTAACTTGTGTTTTCATTGATGGGAATATGATAGCTCGAACCTATATTGATGTGTTTTGCGAGATAACTTGCCACAAAGTGCAATAAAATTGGGTATCAGTAATTCGTACTATTTTCAGCAAGACAACGATCCCAATCACACTGCCGGTATAACACGTATGTGGTTGCTTTATAATGTACCCAGAAAACTTGCCACTCCACCCCAATCACCAGACTTAAATCCTTTGGAAAATTTGTGGAATTCTTTGGATTTAAAAATAAGAAAAAGGAAGATTTCAAGCAAATCTGTCTACCCTTAAACAAGCCCTTATTGAAGAGTGATCGAATACTGACCCTACTATTACAGAAAATTTAATTAAATCAATGCCAGCAAGATTACAAGCAGTAATAGATGCTAAAGGAATGCATACTAAATATTAGTTATTTGAAATTTGCTTATATATTTTATTTCTTTTGTATTCATGCAGGTGTGCAAATACTTTTTTGATATGAGATATTTTAATTTTTTTACAAAAAAGCATTGTTATTTATATTATTGTAATTTTTCTGTTTGTTTTGGATGATTAAACTTATTCTGATTTGGCAATACAATTTTTTTATTTCTCAATGCTTCTTTTTATGAATTGCAAACAAAAATGTAGGTGTGCAAATACTTTTTTTACCCACTGTACATCTCATAATTACAAAGCAATGGTTATGTTTTTTTAAAAATAAAATATAAGCATGCATAGTATTTTTGCACATTAAGCTGCTGAAAAATTATCATTAAAGATATAAAGTAAGAAATTTAGAACTAATTTTTCACAAAGACCAAAAATTGAAATTCATAATTAATAAATTTCAAATATTTCTTTAAATGCAACAAATAATTTAAAAAATGCTATTCAAACAAGCAAAACCCCATTTAAAAAAATTAATAAAATTTAAAGAAAAAATGAACATAACAGAAGAAGAATTCAATCAACTTCAATGTCACTTCGTCAGGAAGGGGAACAGTGAAATCTTTCTTCCACAAACGTCCTCGCTTTTATTTGAAATTTATTAATTATGAATTTCAATTTTTGGTCTTTGGAAAAAATTAGTTCTAAATTTCTTACTTTATGTCTTTAATGATATATATATATATATATTCGGTTCAACCAAATATATATATATATATTCGGTTCAACCAAAAAAGGGAGGCTAATGATTTTTTAGTTGTGCGAGATACATAAGTATGTTCAGATGACACAAAAAAAGCCCTTTCTGAATCACTATAACAATCCGTTTTTGAAAAAAGACTCCTTTATTCTGTCTGTACATACAGATGTCATGCAAAAAATTGTTCAGGTGGATTCAAGAGAGGTGAAAAATCGATGTTTTTTTGAAATATGGTACTGGAAGTTTTTCGCAATTACAATAAGTCCTTTACTTTGTACATGAAGATAAAACAGCAAGGCAGTTTTTTTAATGACGAAGAAATCATTTATAGCATAGAGCCACCGAACAATAAAAGTATGAATGGAATGGAAACAGAAAATGTGTTGAGGTTTTGGTTTTGCTTATTTTAAGTATGGCAAAGCATCAGGGCTACTGCCTGAAGGAAGGAATGCCTTCAGGAAGGACTTTTTAGGAAATTTGCTTCGTATTCACATTACGTATGGAGAAAAGTCATCAAAACTCTTATGGAGTCAGTTCATTTGCCAAGTTTTGTACCCGGATCAAACTACTAAGTGTTCAGCAATTTTACTGGCTGCTAGTGGGCACTGAAGCCTTGGTCAAAGCTCTTGTATTCAGAAATGATCTTGATTATTCTTCTGTGGATATTTCCTCTGAATGAAAGTATCCATAATAATCATGTAACAAAAATATCCATAGGAGAGTCATCAAGGCTCTCCTATGGATATTTTTGTTCATGAAAAACTAGCGTGATTATACACGGCAGGGGATTGTGTTATAGAATAATCATGCACACACACAAGAAAAAGTGAGAGACGTGAAAAAAATAATGTCTCTTAAAAATGCAATAAAAAATTGTGCAATTGATTTGATGGAGTTTGTTTAATCAAGTTGCTTCGTGACTATTTTTGTCACAAAATAAAACCTCATAAGATTATTTTAACTTAAAATAATAATAATTTTATCCAATAGTGAAAGGGTTTGTTAAAATACTTGTGCACTTATTTATTATTATTATTATTATTTTTAATTTCAGACAAACTGTTTCATAAAGCTGTGGTGAAAGAAAAATTAGTATGCTTTAAAATTTAGTCTTTGTTAACTCAATTTTTGATTATCTGAGTTGGTTTTTGTTTTAATTAGTTACCAATGATGGTCAGGATTCTACATTATATCAAGCTTTTTAAAAGCTGCTTTAGAAAGGAAATATATAATTATATAGGATTAGAAAGTATATAAATTTATTAAAATATATTAACCATTTTAAGCTTGTTTTTGTGTGTACAGTTCTGTTTTTGTGTGAGCAATGCACCAAAAATTCTTTACATAATATGTTAATTGAGAAACAAAGCAAAAGAAGTTGCTTTCTTTTTCTGTTAACAGATTAAATATTTATAGATTTCCAAAAGTTCTATAAATTGTTCAAACAGATTTGCAATGAAAGTAAGTAAATTCTTTTACATTAAAATTATGTTTATATTGTATTCTCTGACTAGAGACAGTCTTATAAAAAATTAAATAGTTGAAAATTTTGATCATTTGAGTTTATAATTAAGTTGCTTTTGATTATGTCCATTCTGTTTATATTCCTTCACATTCTGCTTATGTTCCTTCCGTACATTTCTGTGTTTTTATATTTGTCAGAAGTAATATTCTTTTCCAGTACTGATATGCATGCTGTTGTTCAATAGAGATTTATAGGAATGCGTGTTATGTGTGTGCGTTTTAGCTTAAAAAAGTAGTTTTTATGTCAGTTGCTGCATAACTATACTTATATTGAACTAAGACAAGGTTTATTTACTACAGATAATTTCTTTAATCTTACTTAATTTTAAATAACTTTCATAGTTTAAATACATATATTTAAAAATTTTAAATTCATTAAAGTCATTTAAATTATTAATCATTTCAAGTTGCTGAAGTTTAAATTTGTTAATTTTAAATAACTTCATGCGCTTTCATTAATAGCATAAATAGGTTTTCTTATAAAATAAAACAGTTCTGTATTAATAAATATTATGTTTCATACTTTTAAATTGTACGACATATCTTAAAAGCTATATTTATAACAGAAGAGGATCCCAAAGAAGAAGAATTTGAACCAACCTCAAAAAATGCATTAAAGGGAAAGAAAGCAGCACCAATAAAGCGAAAAGAAGTTAAAGATACATATTCTCATCCATGGTTGTTATGTAGTTTAAAAGGTCACAGTGGACAAATTTTGGACTTAGATTTTAGCTCTAACGGTAAACAGTTGGGATCATGTGCTGATGGTAAGTTTTTCATAGTAGTTATTGTGCTGTTTATTTGATATGCATAATAATGAAATTTATTGTTTGGTTAATTCTATAATTATAGCTAAATAAGATAAGATTGATTTTATGTGTACAGTTCTGTTATGTACCCTTTTTATTGACCTGAGTCTTACCATAATTTTAAATAAATGGTATATGCTGGATAATTTTAAAAATAAAAGCAAAATTTGAACTGTTTGCAATGATAAATAGTAAGCTTTTATTTGATTGTTGTTCACATATTTTGGTATTGATTATTCTAGTAGAGGTTTGAAGCAACAGATTATTTATTTAAATAGACAATCACAGTTCTTCACTTAATTAGGTAATTAACAGATATAAATTACTAATGACACATTATACTTTGGTGAAATAAAACTGATATAATTTTATTTGGTAATACCCACCAATATGGATGCAGTATTCCCATTTCCTAGGAACTTTTCAGATGACTGAAAACTCAATGATGATAAATGAGATGAAATATGAACTATTTTTTAGGAATATTAAATTCTGGCATTTATGAATAGTTTAAAATATAGAAATTCAACTGTAAGGAATCTATTTTAGTATCTGTAATTTAGTCCTTTTGGCAGCTAAACTATATTTATGTATGTTAAAAATATGAATTATGATATTTTTAAGTACACAGACATGTGTCCAGACAGTTAAAGAGGTATATATATATTATATGTTATTATCTATGTTAGAAGAAAAGAAGTCAAGGTGCAAACTGGGAAGGTCATTTTGGAATTACACTAAGAAGATACAACTTACTAGATGGCCTTTCAGTTTAGAGGCCAAACCCTTATCTGTTTGTAGGCTTAGTGGGAAGATATTAAAACCAGTAAATATAAATTGTAATGTATAATATTAGTGACTCTCTTAATATTAGTTGCATATAAACTAACCTATTCTGTGATTTTTGCAAATTGTTTTATGATATGTGTAGAGTAGAAAGTACTAAAATGAATCTTATTCCAATTATAGGCCTTTATTTTGTTCTTTATACAGGTTTTTCTCATTAGCATCTTCTGTTATGATTAATGTTACTTGTTTCACCCATAATAAGCTTCTTTTGATAGTATACTATATGTAGACGTATAGATTTTTGACATTGACTGCTGTTTTGCGAGTGCTTACAAGTTCTCCTTAACATGGATTACTTTATAAAGTCTTAAAAATGTAATTCAAGCTAACAATAACACCTATGATCCAGAGCTTTTAGGAGCTTTTTAGGAAGAGTTTGTTCAAAAAGCTATCTGAAGTTCAAAATATTCTGAATTTCTTACATGTGTCTTCTTGCATGTTCTTGTGTGTGTATGGGGGGTTCCCCTACCTTAAATAGTTTACAAAGATAATTTGAAATAAATATTAATTGTATATTATGTGAAATAACTATTGTTTTTATATAGAATATTTTCCTAAATATTTGATGTAACACTTACTATGTGCTTCACAGCAACATTGCACATCTTAAATTTTTCCTTTCTAAGTTTAGAAATTAAACACTGACTTTTAGTTATCTATTGACTAATTATTGTTTCCAATTCCAGTTTGTCAATGCACACTTATTCAATTTCTGTTTTGTTTCAGATCGTTCTGTGATGTTATGGAGTGTGAAAACCTTTGCTGAAAAAAATCACAGGTATTTTATATTACTGTTATAAGGATTTATAATTGTTAGTCAGTAATAATTTTTTTTGCGATCTTTTTAAAAATTTAGTAACAGATGAAAATTAGATATTGGTTGGTATGTGTTCAGAGTGACCAAGCTGTTTATTTTTGAGATTGACTTTTTACATAAAAAATTAATTGCAACATTATCAAATTTGCAAATTTTAACACTTGCAAATCTCGTGGGGTAACTGTTGATAAGGTATGGCGATACAGAATAAAAGCGTTATTAAATCACATTATTATAAAATGTTTCTTATGCTGTTGAGACGTATAACTTGCCATTATAGAAGTTTCTGTAAACATGAATGAAGCAATATTTACAAGTAACTCTCACTTTACTTTTATGAAAGATCCACTTTAACATCTTTTTCAGTCAAAATCGCAATAACAACCTTGTATTTGGCGTACATATATTAAAACACTCAATCGATTTCGAGGGCAGCTGAAGGTCCCTCCTCATCGGGAGAATGAAAATACTAGAAAGGGGAAAAAAGAAGAAAAATAAAGCATCGGCAAAGGAGTCGCAGAAACACGTGGTTGTTATCAGCTCTGCACGTGGTCATAACCGGATTTTGAATCAGTTACACTGTCCACCTACTTTTACTGAGCCAGGCTATCTGATCAAACAATTAACATGTAGACTAAAATGCAAAGAAAGCATCAAAGTAAAAAAATAGGGAGCGAGGGGCAACTGCACCTTCACGCACCAAGTCTGAACCTCGAATCTTTTTCAGTTTATGGAAATCATTTGGAGGGGGGGGGAAGATGACAAAATGCCATTATAGAAGTAATGATCCACGTTTGTTTCATGGATGATAAAAGAGAAGTATGACTTTAGTTGTGAAATAGATTAGAACAGTTTTGCAGAAGTTGATTGCCCTTGAACTGTAGAGTAGGAGAAAAAATATATATAGTATATTGATCTGAGATGTCAAGCATATTTTCATTTTCCTGTCTTTTACATCAGTTGGAGCATATAGCCCAAGCCCGAATTTGTCATATGAAGAAGCAGACAGATACTATAGATGTTTTGCCTAAAAATGGCAAACTTACCTTATACAGTCAAAAGTCTTTAATCCGGACTCGTCGGGACTTCGGCGATTCCGGATTATAGATCATCAGTTTAAATCTGGTAAGATGGCATGCAGAAGTTATAAAATTAAAAATATGAAACCATAATTTATAAAATAATGAGCAATTATGATCTAAAGGGTATCAAAATTTACAAAAAAAGAAGCTTAATATTTATTTGTTTACTTTTGATTAACAGATTTCGGAACGGTTAGATAAACAAAGGATATACCTTTATCCATTTTTTGTAGCAATTCGTTTTTTGTTTAATGGACATCGAAACATACTTTCGTTTTCTAGATCCTTTGGGAGCTCCAGCATCGGAAATTCTATTTGACATAATCGAAAGTTCAGGCTTACTTTTATAAAATTGCTCTTACAGTCTGCAAAAAATAATAAGCCGGATCTAATTCGAAGATTAAGGAACGACGCAATCATGCAACTTTAACTGAAATAGATAATTAGATAATTTTAGCTTATACCGTCCGTTATACATTAAACGCGAATGCGAAAACGTATTCTGCGCTTGCGCAGACGCATATGCGCAGTCGTAAATGTCTTGCGCGCACGCATAAAATGCGTATGAGCATGCGTCAATGCCGCGCATGCGCAGAAAGATTTTAGCTTTGAGGTCCGGATTATGGGTGTCCAAATTAACGACTTTTGACTGTATTTACCATAGTGTCATGCATCTCCCACAACAGAATCATTCATTACTCATCTTAACATTCTTACATTTCTGTTAGTCTAAACCTTCTAGTGTACTAGCTGTCTTCACAATACTGAAAACTGAAACTTCATTACATATGCTGAATAAGCTACAGGAATCTTCAAAAACAAGTAAATTTGTAGTGTTATAGTTTAACAAAATCTTCTTCAGCTGCAAATGATGAAGAAAACAACTATGTGTTTAAGGAGACTTATGATGCTTCTGATATTGTATTTTTTCTAATAAAGATTCTTAAAATTGCTTGTAAATGATTATTGGTAATGTTTGATTGTTTTTATCAAAATTATTGGTAGAAAGTGTTTGTTGACTTGTGTAGATTGACCCAAAGTAACCAACATTTCCTAGGCAGAATCCTTAAGTTTGTTAAATTTGTCCAGATACAGATTTTTGTAAAATTTAGAGATTTCTTGACTGTGCAGGTCACTCAAATTGATACAGAAGAGTTCTAATCTCAAGTTTGTAGACTGTAGGCTCATCCATTAAAATTGGATCACAAACTATCACAAAACATTTTTCAGTGTTTTGAAAATCATCAGATTTTGCTAATAAAGGAGGATTTATGAAATTCTTGTATGGATTTGAATAAAACTAAAAGTTATAAAATTGATTAAAAGCTGATAAACTGAAAATCTATTTTTGAAGTTTAGTTTATTTTCATAGAAGCATTAAAAGACAGAAAAAGTAATATATTGAAAGAAGTAGGATTATTGCTTACAAGCCCCACATATATGTTCAATGAGCTGCATGCAGCCTGTGGGCCTTAGTTTGCCAGACCTGAAATAATAGAAAACAAAACTTATAATGCCATCTGTAGAATGAAAAGCAGCTGAGAAAGAAATTCTTAAAAAGTTTTGATGGCAAAGGGGAATTAAAATTGAGATCATTAACCAGAGCGAAAAGATTTTTATGAATACAAAATGCCTCCACAAAATCAAATTCACCGGTAGAAAACATTTTGTGAATAATTTTAGCTGCAGAAAAAAGTAAAAGTGACTTTTGAATAGCGGTGAGGGGCAGTAGAGGATTTATGGGTGCAAGGTTATCCTTTTGTGTTTCTGAAGGTCTGAGAATGCTGGAGCCCTAAGTAAATGTATCTTTGCTTTAGACCATTTCAGTTTACTAAATATTTTACAGGAACATTTCTTGTTAAAGTGCCTCTAGTGGCATTTGAAATTCGCACATTACAGACTGTGAGATTAAGTTTGCCATTTTTGGCAGCTGACTATGGTAGCTTCTTTAAAAAGAAAATTTCCACTTTGTTTTTGTAAGATGGAGGAAAATCTTGTAATTTGTAAAAATAAAAAATTTCTTTATAAAGATAAGCATTTTAGGGTTACAGTCAAGAGCAGGTATGTACCAAGTAAGTTTATTAAGTATGCATAAAAGATTTTGAGAACTTGGCTTGTTACCATATTATGAATATGATGTATTTAAACATTCCATACCAGTATCTCAAGTTCGAGGAAAACCATGAAAATGCCCATGTAGCCAGTTCATTTGCAGGAATTCGAAACCCAGACTCAGCTACTAGTATTCAGCTGTTTTTACCACTTAGCCGATGGTGGGCTTAAGTACATTTGAAGACAGAAAGATAGAATTTTACTGCTAAATTATAACTATTAGTTTAATGTAACTTTTTTTTTTCACTGTAGAATTTTGCTCTTATATTTTAGACTGCAAGAAAAACAATCGTACATCATACAAATGAGCAAACATCGAGAAGTTCTGTATTACTAGAACTTCTTTATGTTTGCATCAGAATGCTGTAACAAACATAACAAATTCTTGCTCATTTAGTTTTCTTGTTTCTTGGATGAGGGATGCATACAAATTTGGTCTTTTAAAGCAAGTTTTGTTTTTTAAATATTATTTATTTAAACCACATGACACAAGTAAAACAGGTTATTTTCACAAGAAAATTTTTTAAATGAAGATTATGCTAATGTTGTAAAGGAATTGTATAATAATTTGTATTAAAATAGTAATCTGAGCATATATATAAGATGCCAATAAAATATGCAAGTTTTCTGTCACAGTTGTTAATTAATGTGTATACTAAGCCCTTCAGTTTAAAATTTGTATGTGAGATATTTCACTTGTCATTTAAGCAAGAAATAAAATGTTATTTTGCATTTCCATGTTAATCTTGTATTTTGCTGTATCTTGTAATTGCTGAATATCTAGCCTTGAAATGCGATAATTCTTCTTGGATTACATTTCTGACAGCTGAACAGGTTGGCTGCATGGGCTTTTTATGGTTTTCCTCGTGTTTAACAATCAGAATGGATTAATACCATTGCTCCTCTCAGGTAGGTGAAGTAGTGTGTTTTGCTATAACTGAAAGAGCAAATAATTTTTATAGTTTGGTAACATGATAAGCGTAAAAAAGCAAGTTTTATAACTGATAACAAGGCAGTACTCAAAAGCAGTGTATAATTTTATTTTAACCATATCATTCTTTTACGAAAATCTTTTAATTACATTTTGATTTGTATCTGGCCAAGTGTGATGGCTGTGTTTATAACTGCTGAAGCTGTTGTGTGCTTCTTAGCATACAACAGCAGCCTTTTTAATCTCTAAATTATTCATTTATTGTTCTGTTATACATGTTGTTTCTGTTGTAAAAAAAAATTCATTTCTTAAGCAGTGATTCCATGGGTGACAGTTATGAGATTTAACAGAAAGAAAATGTTACGATAACGAGAACATAGCCGTAGCGTCTTTGCCATTGATACTTAGTAATTGATGTGTATAATCATGAGTCATGTCCATGTGTTTTTGGTAGTCAATCAACAGTTACTAGACTAACTTTTTGCAACATAAACTTCATTTTTCTTTTTGAGTAAAAATGTTCATGTTGTCTTGTAATGGCAAAATGCCTGTGAAGAAGCAAAGCAAAATTAAGTAACATCAGTCATTTGTTATGAGAATTGCAAGTGATTTATTTCGGCAGTAAAAGTGCTTATATTATAAATTGCCCTTGCCCCTTTTTTTCAAGGTGGGATTGTAGAAATAGTGCACATGGTTTTTATTAAAATAATTTTATTGTTTTATAAAGCCTTCGGGTATTTCTGGATTTTTGTTTGACAGTATTGCTGTTAATATATCATAACGTGTCAAGAATTGAGTCAGAAAAGCTAAAAAATACTCGAGCTAGCACTAATATTTTGCGATTTTGGAGTAAACAGCATGTATTGTTGCTGTTTGAGTATCATTTTAGCTAAATACTTTAAGCAAAACATTTTTTAGCCCAAGCCAATTTCAACTTAGTGATGAATTTCTAAAAATATTCAAAATTTTATGGAAAAGATAAATTGCTTTAACTTGTAAACCACCTAAAAAACGTCTCTACCTTGGCCCTAATTCAGCAGTATTGTTGGGTATATTAGAGCTCAGTGGTACTGTAATGTCAAAATTCAATATCTCTGAGTATTGTCATGATTTTCAAGTTATATGTGGAAAGTATTTTTATTGTGCAACATTAAATATTAATCAAGCATTTTCAAATTGTACTTTTTCAGGAAATTAAATTAATACTTTAAATTTTATTAATAATGAATTTAAAATAACAGGTATTTATTTGCATATGTTTGTTTAATTAGCATTTTTATGTTTAAAAATTAAGGAATTTCCTCTCCTATTTCATTATAGATCTGTCCGAGCCAATGTTGAATATGATCATGCTACTCGTATTAAATGGAGTCCTGACAGCAAAGCATTCATAATTTCAGCAGCATCTGCTAATACTATTCAAGTTTACAAAGTTGGGAAAAAAAGTGATGGTACCCTTGGAAATATTGAGCCAATATTAAAGTTTCCAGAAGCACATAATGCAGATATTATAAATATTGGCATTGCATGTAATGGCCATTTCATTATGAGCTGCTCATCTGACACAACAATTATTGTATGGGATTTAAAAGGTAAAATTTATAAATGTTTCAATATGATAAATTTTTGCAGTATGTGCTTTCTGTAAAACATTGTCTATACACTTGTTTGTAAACATGTCTAAGCATACATTATGCAGTGTCTATGAAACAAAATTTAAAATACATGTTAAATATTCTCTATAGCTAAATATTAGAATTCAAGGTTATAAATGGCAGTACTTTTTATTTATTATATAAAATCCTTCTAACATTTATGCTTTGGTATTATTTCCTATGCATAAGATTTTGGAACTGAATGTGTTTCTCCCACAGTGAAATTTTTTAATGTTTTCAATTAAATGGTTGGGCATTACTGGTGTAAATTCTTTTAATGTACAATGTTTTTTGAAATCATATTTTTTAAGAAAGACAAAATTTAATTTTAGTATCTATTTACTAATTTCTAGGACAAATACTTGCTACAGTTGACACATTGCACATCAACAACTATTACGCTTGTGTTTCTCCATGTGGAAGGTTTATAGCATCTTCAGGTTTGTGAATTATTATTATCATTATTATTTTTAAATTTGATTGGTTCATATTTTTAGGAATAAAGTAACCTTGAAACTGTTCATTTAATTTATCTGTATAAAAATTAGATCAGATGTTTGCTTGGAAAATGGCTTTTGCTCTTCTACGTGTCTGTTCAAATGTGTAGTTGGTCATAAATTTCAGTTTGAGCAACATAATATTGTGTCAGAGTATATATATGAGGGTTGGAACTTTAATAGTGGCAACTATTTATTTACAAGGAATACAAAAGTGATTCATGTCACCATTTTTTACAGTCCTACAATATAGTCACCAGCATTGTGTACAACCCGTTTCCAACGATGTGGAAGTCGCAGAATACCTGTAGCAGCGCCTGTTTTGTTGATAGTTTGAATGGACCGGTCTACTGCCGCAAGAATCTCAGGAACAGTTTGGAAGCGAGTGCCACGAAGTGGTTCCTTCATCTTAAGAATTACGTCATAGTCACAAGGGCTTAGATCTGGGGAGTATGGTGGATGGTAAAGCACTTCCCAGCCCCATCGCTTGAACAAATCAGTCAGCTTGCGCTGCATGTAGCCGAGCATTGTCATGCAAAATGAGAGGAGCATTCTGCAGAAAGTGTCGCTGTTTTTTTTCTCAAAGCTGGTCAGAGATTGTGCTCCAAACTGAGCAGTAGTACTGCGCAGCGACGGTCTGCTGTGGGGGAACGGTATGCATTAGGATGACACAATCACTTTCGTACAGGAGAATCACCATAACTTTCACATTGCTGGGGTTCTGACGAAATTTCGAACGTCGTGGTGACCTGTGATGATGCCATTCGTTTGATTGCCGTTTCAGTTCTGGCTGCTACGATCGGGCCCAAGTCTCATCCAGCGTAATGATACAGCATAAAAAAGCATCTCCTTTGCACTCATACCGCTCCAGGTGAGTTTGGGCAGCATCGTATCGTAGCCATTTCTGCATTTCCGTCAACTGATGTGGAACCCATCGTGAAGCAATTTTTCTCATGGACAGGCGTTCCTTCAAAATGTGCAGCACAGTCGTATGCGCTAATCCTGTTTGTCCGGCCAGCTGGCGAATCGTTTGGCGACGATCACTGTCCATTAGTGCGGCAACAGCTTGCACGTCTGCATCGCTGACACTCAGACGACCTGGTCGCAGCATATCTGCCACATTTTGGCATCCTTCATTGAGTGCTTTCACCCATCTTGCTACGGTTCTGTAAGGCAATGCAGATTCCCCGCAAGCCTCTTGATGACACTGTCGTGCTGTACGACCTCTGGCACATTCAATTTTTATCCAACATCGTTGTTCTTGTTTTGAAAACATACTGCCCATTCTTCACGTCACTCCACATGCGCGTGACGTAGGCAGGACGAGTCTTTTTGCTGAGAGGTAAGGTAGGTATGTAGTTTACGTGTGGTATACGCGATATTCTTTGGTTTTGTTGCGTAGCGTTTTTTCAGCTGTGTTGCCACTATTAAAGTTCCAACCCTCATATATATGTATGTATATATCAATCAATACACACACACACACATATATGTATGTATATATATATATATGAATTCGTAAGTTTTAGTATGTACACTGAATTGTCACAATTTAACAAAAGCATTGGTCTAATTGTATTGTTAATCTGTAATCAAATTGTGCAATAGCAAACTGGGCTTATGACGAACAAACTTTTCATCTATCCAATTTCTGGTACTTTTAATGTTATTTTATACACCTGTGATAAACCTCTAAATGTAATTAAAATTGTATGTAACAGACTTTATGAATATCTCTCACTAAAACATTTTTAGTCTAAAAGAAACTGTTAGTTTCAAAACGGGACTTTGCATAAGTTCACCATAAAAGCATATCACTTTTCAAATTGTTGCCATCAAATATTATTGCCCTGTATTATTTTTAAAGAAATAATGAAGGATCTTCATATATATATATATATATATATATATTACACACATACATATGTATGTTATTAACTTTGCCAAAACCTGACAGTACCTAGAGCCATCAAATTATGAATAACATAGTCCTCTGCTCTAATTTTGAAATGAATTTTTTATCACAAACTCCACTGTTTGAAAGTGAGCAGTGGCAACACTGTTTGAAATAAAACATTTTCTCTCCAGCGAGTGAACTGTTGCCATGCGGAAAAATGTAAGGTCTTTCAATTTTAATTAGCAAATTCAGGTCTATGAAAGCACTGTGTTGCTGCAACTGTAAATGAAATACTTTTACTTACTGTCAGCATGTTGCCATTCGTACAGCCTAATAGACTTTCAAATTTAATCTAGAAGGTTATAATAAACTGATTTCAAAGCAGTAAGTATAGTTCTTAAGAATATTTTTTCTGCTTTTTAATGTGGTTTATTTAAATAAATATGTATTAAAAGATGATATCTAATTAGAAATATGATTCGTGAGATATCTAATTAGAAATAGTCAATATTTTTATGAAATTACACTAGCTGGACTCATTAAGATTATTAAATATTTTTTTAAATGATAAATAACCACACCACTTGCAGTCATTATTCATAATTTTTCAACTCAGTTATCAGCTCTGCATTATAGCATATAATTTAATGCATTTTCCATGCAAAAAGCATAATCATTCCATGGGCCAGATTAAAAACAAGTGGCAGGTTAGATTTGGTTCACATGACAGATTGCTGCTTTAATCAAACGACACCAGATAAAATACTAAGCAAGTTTCAAATGCAGTTACTAATTAAAGAAGTTTGAAGATGTGTTTCATTAAGAGATTTTATTTGTTAAAAAAGTTTCTCTGCTGGTGCACTTTTAAGAGATAATTTTTGTATGTCTAAAAATAGAGATAAAGGTTAAAATTAATTGGTTTTGTTATCCTGTATTTTCTTGTATATATATGATTATTTCATGCCAGATTTTGTTTTAGTGATTGTATGATATAATTTTTTCAAAATACTTTTTTTCTTTCCTCCTGAAATGTACTGCCAGAAACACATGTCACATACTCTAGTGCAGTGATATACAACCAGTGGCTTGCAGGCACCTGGTAGACCACAATCCTATCCTTAGCCACCCACCAACCACAATCACAGGATCACCATGAGAAGAAAACTTTGCTCTAATCCTAATGTAAAAAACATGCAATTACAGGTCAGATACAGGGACACTACATTTGTGTTCACTTAGTTGTGTGTTATCACCTTCACTTTGTCTCATATCTGTAGTTTTATCTGTGCAGCGAATTAGAGTGCCTGCTTTAACACGCCCTGTTTGTTGCTGGCTGCACATCTGCACAACAATAAATCATCCTTGTGGTCAATGATCATCAGTTGAGTTGAAATAAGCTGACAAAAGTTAACAGTAGTGGCACCCAAACTTTGCTGTTTTTGTCAAGTTTTAAAATAACACTTTAGTATTTTTGTATATTTTATGGTGTGCTTACCAACATGAGTGGCATGCCCAGGACCATCAAAACAAAAAAAAACTTACCACTTAAACCTCGAAATGGGAAGAACTGTTTTTTTGAAAATGCTGGTGAAAAAGCAATTTATTTATAATGCAATACTTCAGCAGCAATACCAAAACAATCAAATGTAAAGAATGCCTTCATAAAACCATTTATAAGATTTTAAACAGTAAATATCCAACAGGTCTGCTTTTCATAGACATGGAGTTCAGTCATTAAAATCTCTAAAAGCTGAACAAAGTGGTCTTTTTATCCTAAAAAATGAAGCAAAGAATCACACAGGAGCATCCTTCAAATTAAGTTGTATTCTTTCATCACATAAAAATACACATTCAGGTGGGCCCATTGTGAAGAAAACTAACTATGTGGTAATTTCAGTCTTTATTTCATGAATTTAAAAACAAAAATGAAATAATCAGAACTATAAAAGATGTGCCGGTGAATCTTTACATAATGGTAACTTGGCGATTTTTTGGCAAACATTTGGCAACCAACCCTGCTACAGCAACCTGCTAGTTTTGTTTTCACGAAGTAAAGGCTTTTTTTTTTTTTTTTTTCCTCAACATTTTTTCTAACAATCTGCTAGCTGAATTACGCTTATACTAGAACTTTTATGGAACAAAAATGCTTAATCATGACGAAGATTAGGTACGAAATTGGGAGAAAGTGCAGAATCGCAAACTGCTTGCCGTGTTTTTAAGAATTGCACATACATTGTATCCATGTACACATCGACCCATTTTCACTTAAAAAACATCCCAGAATTGCACAAAAATGGCATTGTGCACACTCTTGACTTTATCTATGTACACATCGACCTATTTTCACTTAAAAAAACATCCCAGAATCGCACAAAAATGGCATTGTGCACACTCTTGACTTTACACATCGACCTATTTTCACTTAAAAAGTCAAAGAAAATTGACAAAAACCCAATTCTTCTTACTCTTGTGAAAAGCGCCAAACAAATAAGTGGGCAATTCTGCACTTTAGCAGCAAAATTGTTTCTAAGTGCTTATTAGTTAAAATCACGATCGGAATTTTCCGGAAAATGTCACATTACATGTCTCACAATCTCTCATTTCTCTGAGACAAAATAATGTGATTCAAACTGTGTACTTCTCAGATTATTGCTAAAGTCCTAGCTAGTAACCTTTATCGCTTTATCAAAATGTCGCCAAACTACCTGTTACCATATTCTAAAGATTAGCTGATGTGCCTCTCTCACTAAACACATTAGCACAGCGAGTGGACAGTATGGTGAACGACATCTATATACAAATGATATATATATCATTTGGAAAAATGTGTTTATTTTTCCCGCTGTTTGATAAATCCACTGCAACATCTTATGTTCATGAGAATGGTGTTTTCTGATATAAACAGGATGATACATTTTCCATATTTTAATTCATACTGCTACATTATTCATCAAGAAAATCTAAAGAGCCCAATCTCAGTCATGTAATCACTGTTATTGTATGCACTGTAAATTTTATTGGAGATGGCCTTTGAATCATCAACTGTTTTTAGTTTTGCTAGCGAGCATGATGATACAATTTACTATGCAAGGTAAAGATGGCCGAATTGAAGAAAGTTTCAATACGATTTTTTTTGGAATGCTGTCAAAGATTAAAACTTTTCGTATCCAAAGACAATTATGACATGGAGTGGCTTTGTTGATTTGGCATTTTTAAGTGATATCACTACAAAACGATGTTTCAAGGAAGAAGAAAACGTGTGTCAGAAATGAAGGGCTGAATATCTACTTTTCTGGCTAAAATTGATTTGTGAAAGAACAATGTATTGGAGAAAGACTATCAATATTTTCCATTTACTCTCATTCTAGATCCGGAATTTATTATGAAGTATGATATATCTAAGCATGTTGAAAACCTTCTGTTACGTATAATTCAAAAGAAAATTCTAAGATATCTTTTCTATGGAACCCATTTTATTGTTAACACAGAATCCTTTGTTGGAATTAGACATAACAGATATGACTCTGTCAATAAAAAAATCTTATTTTATTAACAAATTGGAGGCTGAATTAGAGATTATTACTCCTCACACTGCTATAACACTTAAAAGCACAGAAAACTAAAGTAAAGTAGCTTTTAAACTAATGGAGCGTACTAAATACAGAAACATTACTTTGGTGTGCTTTAACAATGAAAACATGTTTTGGGTCTCTTTGAGTAGGCTTCTTCACAACTTAAAATAATAAAAAGCAAATACAAAAATATATTAACTCCAGAGCGTGTGAAAAACAACATGGTGCTGGCATGCTTTATATTAGAATATATGCCTAATTTTAATAGTTTGTCAGAAAACATTAATATTCAAAAGTACGTCATTAATAGAAAGTTAATGACTTAATGCAATACTAAATGAATTATTTGACAATTTAACAGATGCACTTTCTTTTGTTGGTAATTAGTTTATTAGTATGTGCTTTTCTTTATTTTCTAATTTGAAATAAAATTAGCTTGTACCTTCACTACATTTCCCTTTTATTAGTGGATTTTCTCCCCCCTTTTTGGGGGGGTAGGTTTGTATTAATTATTATTTGGAAGCACAAGAATTTTCATGAAGTTATTTTCCAAACATGAAACGCCAGATGCTGCGAGGCACAGCAGAAATTTAAAAGTAGCCATTAAAACAAAACTGGTTGGACACCACTGTTGTAGTGTATTTTATATGTTAGCAAAATGTTATATATTTATATGAAGTATCTAAATACTAATACAAAATTCTGGTTATAGGTTTTACACCTGATGTTAGAGTATGGGAAGTATGCTTTACAAAAACTGGAGAATTTAAAGAAGTAAAAAGAGCTTTTGAATTAAAAGGGCATACATCAGGAATTCATCATTTTAGTTTTTCCAATGATTCATCTAGGTAAGTTTATTTTTATCTTTAAAATTGAACTAAGCATACTTTTCAATTATGAAAAACTGTAAAGTACCTATTGAATTTAAAAAAAAAATTTTATTTGACTGCATGATTACTGAGTATTGCATGTTAAGCATTAAAATTTCTAAACAATTCACTGTAAAGAAATAAAACTGGATTTGTACAAAGGATGGCTTTATTACTTAATAAAATATTTGTATAAGTAAAAGATGTTTTAAATGGAAAACTATTTTTTAATAATAATAATAATGTAGGGCTCATTCTTTTTTTTTTTTTTTTTTTTTAATTCTGAGTAAAACATATGTTTGATATTTACAACTGCATTAAATGAGAAAGTAGTAAATTTATTGAAATGATATTCTCAATTTTTAAATATGCTTCTTTGATTTTTTTTATATGAAAATCATTTTATTCTTAGTCTACTTTTATAATTTTTTCATTTCGCTTTGATAGGTATATATTATAAAGCTGAAAATTTAAACCTGCTTTATTCTGTCATTAAGGTTTGAGTTCTAGAAAGATACTAGTTTTTACTTATTTATTTATAATTAGGATGGTGACATTTTCAAAGGATGGCACATGGAAATTGTGGGACACGAATAGTGAGTAATAACAGATTGGTATAGAAATTTCTGAACAATAATTTTAATTGCATATATATTTTTTAAATATTTTGTGATTGTTGTTTAATTGTAAGCAATATTTTTAAACATGCATATTAATTATTGGATCATTCTGTAAGAGATGATTAATGACTTTTACTATTTCATTTCAATTTTCTTTCATTTATGTAATTATTAGTTATGTGTATTAATTAGACCTCAGGATTTCAAATTTAAGTCTCAATTATAAACTTTATCTTGTTTAAATTAAATGCTTCATATTTTAGTTATTTCTACGTTTATAAAAGACATTCTATGTACCTGTAACAACTTTAATTATTTGTTATTAAAATCTATATAATTCTAATGTCTAATTTCCTTTGGTGATATACTGTAATTTCTGGAAGAAAGGCCGCATCAGCGTAAACGCCGCACTCGAGAAAAATGGCGGAAAAAAATTAAATTTACACAGAAACGCCGCAATAGATTAAATTGCGCGTGACATCATCGTGGGCTGTATAGATGCAAAATCTCAACCTAAGTCCTGATATATGACATGTCAGTTAAGAAAAATGCATGAAATGAAACCATAACTCAAAAATAAATTAAAGGTAAGAAATGTTGAAAATATATTTACTTCACGTATATACTTATATTTATCCACTAAAGAAGTCCATATTTGTAATACTCAAAAAAAATTTTGCAACAACGAAATATTAAATTTGGATGACAAAAGGAAATTTTAAATTTTACTTACAAAAGGAATTACAGCAAATTACAGCATCATATGAAGCCATCAAATCTGATTATTCACTATCTGAATTAAAAAGATTTAGTAAATCCTGATCTAAGTCTTCCAGATCGTCACATTCATCCTCTTGGTTTACAGTCTCTTTATCTAAGGATATAATTTCAGCTTCTTTGAACCCTGCTATTATTGACAATGTTTTTACCGATTTCCACGCACTTCCTACCTGCTTTGCAACTTCTTCATAAGATGCTCTACGCGTTTTACCGTTTTTGGTATACGTATGCAATCCTTCACTCATCCAACACTCCTACCGCTTTGGACTTTAGCTTTGAAGGATTTATTACCTGACAAATCTAATGGTTGTAAGATTTTTGTCAAACCACCAGGAATCATTGCTTCTGTCATCAACAATTTTTGACATCTGGTTTTCACTGACTCGAGTAAATGAGCACGCATGGAATCCATTATCAATAACCCTTTTGGTTGGAAGAAAGATCCCATATGACACTGCCAAACGTTTTGTAGCCACTCATGCATCATTTTGCACATCCAGCTGTTCTCGTTCGCACAAATAATTACGTCATTAGAAAAATCTCCCTTCGAAATAGTCTTTCATTTAAAAATGATCATCGGCTTTAGCTTGTCACCGTTTGCGGCACAAACTAACATACATGTAAATGACATTCTTTCATGCCTCATCGTTAGCACAGATACAGTTTTTGCACCAGTTTCATTAACAGTTCTGTTTGCAGCAGAGTCAAAAGCTAACGGTGTTTCATCCATATGTATTACCTGTGATCGAAGAAGTTTTTTTTTGGTCAATAATATCTGTCACGTATTCTAGAAAAGATGCCTTTTTATCCTGCCAGTCCATTGGTAATTGTTGCCCGACTGTTGTTCTAGTACACACAGAAATATTTTTTCTTTTCATAAATCTGCTACAACTAGGCCCTCCTTTGAAATCATCTATGTTCATTTGTTTTTCTATAAATTTTCCTTGTAAGCAAATTTTTACAGTCGAAATTGCCATTCCCTTTCCTCGTTGCTCCTTTATCCAGTTTGCAAGGTCGTCATCTAGATTCGGCCATCTTACAGTACCAGTTCTTTTGTCTCGTTTCTGTTGTGGCATATTTTTAAGAAGTCTTTTATCAGTTCTCCAATGTCGAATGCATCTCTCGTCCACTTCAAATCTCGAGCTGCTGCTCTATTTCCAATTTGTTCAGCACGTGAAATTACATTAAGCTTAAAACCAGCAGTATAGCTTCTGTGCTGTTTAGGTGCCATTTTCAAACATTTTTCACTCCCTTCTTACTTAAAAACTATTCAACAAGTACTTGTACTCAAACTGATGGGATCTGTATTTGGCAGAATGCCAAGAAAAATTTTTTCATGCTGAAGGGGAAATAGGTCGGAGTTCTTTAGTAAAAATTTGCAGAAAAGGCAGGGTTGGGGAGAGGATGTGTCCTGGAAGATTCATCCAGTGGCAGAGGAGAGAGACTATTCAAACTGATGAAAATGTTGATTTGAAAGGGGGAAGAATGTATTGTTCTGAGAATAAGGCATGTTCTGAGAATAAGGCATGTAGAGGGTGAATAAGGCATGTAGGTTCGTTCAAAGGAAAGAATGTAAACAAATTAACGTTCACAAAAAGCAACTGAGTAGTCTTTTGTGTGGGAACAACACCAGTCTGTGTATAATGACAAAGCCATCCAAACTATGTACAATGACCATCATAGGAAATATTTTATTTTTAGTTCACCTAAACGCCGCACCTGCTAAAAATTTAAGTTTTAAACACGTAAACGCCGCAACGTTTCTTCCGGAAATTATGGTACTAATAAAATTTATAAAAAATTCTATTTGTGAGGGTATTTTATTATTTGATTTAATAGTTTACTGAAATTCTTTTAAAGCATTTTATTTAAAAATGGTTAAATGATTTTTAATTTTTTCTTTGATTTTATTTATTTTTCCCTAGTTGAGTATAGTAAAGGACAAGAGCCTTATCTTTTAAAAACATGTAACCATGGCATAAATGCTAAGTGCATAACAGCATTGTCACCAGATGGTAGGACCATCGCTCTAGCACCTATAACTTCATCTGATCTCTATATATATTCTGCTGTGACTGGAGATTTTCAAGTGAAACTAGAAGAAATTCATTCAGGTGCTATATTATTAATGATATTCATTTTTATTTAATATAATATTTTTCTTGTAGTTTTAGTACTAAATTTGTGAATAAGAATTTTATAATGAAAATTATATGAAATATGAAATTTACTTACTACTAAATTAGTAAATTTACTACCATAAATAAAATGTAAACCTTTTTGCATAATATTTATTGTATTAAGAAAGAAAAGTTTCTAATGATGAGACATGTTGTTCTCTATCAAGAATTTCTTGATTTTAAGTACTAAATATGTCAGTTACCTAGTTTAACTCATTTGCTATTAAATAAAAACATCACTTCTGTTTGGCTTTATTATCTTCCTTTTTTTAGATTGTAGTAATGTTTTGTGAGAAAAGAATTATGTAGCTCTTTGATAATATAATGGGTTTGGCTAGCCAGTGCACATTACTGTTTTGTCCTTGCTGCTGTTAAACTGAGTTCCTGATATGCCTTTTGGCTGTTAAGAAGTCTGTCGCCAGGTAGGTTGTTGAGTCAACCCAGTTAGCCTTAAACTAAATTATTAGACCAGCACTACTACTTATATTTGAGTTTATTGTTAAATTATTCTTCAGTTCCCATTGCAAGTAGTCAGTGTTAGCATGAAACACGTGCATTTGTGTTAAGAGTTTGGGCAAATAATAAATGTTTGTTTTACCTTTCTTCTGTGTTGATATTATTCCCACCTGTGCAAGAAGTCACCAGGTCTCCTCGTAGATCACTCTAACTGTATGATAGCTAAGAAGGTTGAAGAGACATTAGGTCTTTTTTTTAAAGCAGGAGATGTGCCTTCAAAACGAATTGAACCACAGACTTCTGGAATACACGCCCAGCATGCAGGCCACTACACCACTTTTATTCCACATACACTACGATAGACTCTATAATGACCAGGCTTATTCTCGCATAGGCATGAATAAAACTACTGACTCAGATGAAGGGTAAAAATAACCCTTTATCAATTCAAAATAGTTTACAGAAAGGCACGGTCTTCATGCATTACAAAATCACTGTCAACTTGCAGTGAAAACTAAATGTGGAATATAATGTAAGTCAAACCTAAAATAAATAGTGCTAGATAGCACTTTAGTTACGCCTAAGAGGTGGACTCACAGGAACCTAACCGGCGTGATACTAAATCTGATAAGGCCAAGAGGCTTACTACCGTAACAGCGAAATAACAACGAAACATGCGCTTGACTAGCAAAAACACGTTCTGAAAAACTCAGATATTCACCTGTTTAAATAAGCACTTAACTTTAAATTTATATCCTAACGAAAGAATATGAGGGGAAGTCTAGAATAGGTACCAAACTTAAAATAAATTTGCTATGCAAAATAAGGAAATACCCTACAAGGTTAGATCTTACACCATAATGATAAACAGTGAATAACTGGTACGTTTCAATTAACACATTTGCTGCCAGGATAAGTGTACAAGAATTCACTAGAAGCAGACGGGTGTCATACAAAAAGTTTTGTGCTTTTTTTATGTTAAAAACAAATGAAGCAGTACACAAACAACAAACATATGAAATTTTATTGAATCACATGAGCATAATTGTATTCTATGCCTTTTTGCCATCTCTCAGGTAGCTACAAAATTCTTTTGTCTGCATTGACAGTCTCCAAAGAAGTGAACTGCAGGCTATTCAGATAATTTTAGATTGACATGAAGAGATGGAAGCTGAGAGTGCAAGCTCTAGTGAATGTAAAGTAGAAGCTCTATTGAATGTAGTGGGAAGGGGGGACAACATAAAATATCTGAGCCATACTCTGTAAGTTTTTGTCTGTGTTATCAGAAATCGCACTTTTTCCATACATGGCACAAATTTCATGAGCAGTCTGACAAGCATTAATTTCCTTTTTTAAAATTAAAGCATAATGTGATGAAAATGAACTTTTGGATTCTTCATTCTTAACATTCCACTGAAACAAAAATTATGGTGCTCACACACTATAATTTATGCATTGTGAGCAGTAAAGGCCATATTTAAACATCTCCTTCAATCAAGTTCACTCCAGATCAGCAATGACAATGTAATAAAAAGAAAATGCGCTTTGATTTAAAACTACAGAACTTTGGAAACATAGTGCCTTACCACACAGTAGCTTGTAACTGGCTACCACATATACCTGTGTGTGACTGGCAACAAAAATCTGAAAATCATACAGTGCATTTTTGGTTATATGTCAGCATATTTTGGCTATTTCTTTTCCCACACCTTTGGCTCAGTACTAAAAGGTCAACCCTACAACATTTTACACTCAACTTCCCCCCTTTTTTCTATTTTTGCCCCTGATTTCTTTTGAAAGAAAAAAGCGTAAAAAAAGATAGTTCAAATAGTTACATTTATTGCATCTTAATGACTAAGTTAGTATGCAGAACTACAGAAAAGATAACAATAGTTAATAAATATAGCACTACAAGAAGAATCATATAAACCTAAATAGCATAGCAGAGAACGTTTCTCCTTTAAATTCATCTAACACCACAAGTTCAGTTAAATAAAAGTCTAAATGTTGGCAGGCAGTGTCTCTTTAATGTTTATTGCCATTTTGTATTATCCCATAAGCACTCAGCAGACTGTGTGTAACATCCAGTTTCTATATCCATGAAATGACATGATTTACTGCGGAATAAATCTAATCTTAAATACTTCGCAGCTTTAAAAAAAAAAAAAGGGCTATGTGTGGTTATACTTTTGATGCAATGAATATAAAAGGCAGTTGTTACCAGGAAAGAAGCCTTTTAAATATTTAAATTTTAGTATCATTTATTAGGATATTTTTTACTATGAAAGTAACATGTGTAAACTATTTTAGGTAGTTTTCAATTGTTTTACATAGTTTTTGCGATGTACCAGTAACACCTCATTGAAATCAAAGCCTGTTTCTATTTTATTTATTTTTTTAATATTTACACGAGTGTGCAACAAAACTCTTGAAAAAAGCACATGGGAACTTCAGACATACTATACTGAAACTTCATGCCAAAAACCTTTATACAATTTTTCTTGTATAATGAGTTGTTTCTGTTGCATCTTTTCTTGTGTGCAAACACTTCACAAATCACAGCACAGTAATTGTTCAAACCTAAAGAACACTGGTCATGGTAGTCAATCGAAACAATGCAGAACACGCTGTTTTGAATGGTATGGGGGTTAAGCTGAGGCTCGCTGCTAACTTGAATACAAGGATGTCAGATCAGTCATCCTCTGTGGGTCATTCTGAGTAATACTGTCAGTGATGACTAAATCGTTAATGGGTTTGGTTTATGCTCCTTAGAAGTCCTTAGGATTTTTGCAAATAGTTTTTGGTCTTTAAAATGTTTTCCTAAAATGAATTTTGGCCAAAATTGGAAAGTTCCGTAATTTTACTTATCTGACATTTCTGTCTTTTTTTCCCCTACGACTGCTGTTTTGAGTGTCAATCAACATTTTGGAGGAATATTTTTTTATAATTAACTGACAAACATGCATTTGGGGGTTTATTCTTCGCATTCATTCGTATTTCTGATATTAACAGTGCAAAACTTGAGTTTTTGGGAACGAAGCCCTACCTCGCTCAAAACATAAACATTTAAAAAATTATTCCTGTTGGGGGGTTGTGGAGGACAGATGAAGAGTTTATAAAATATTACATCAAAAATAACTTTTAATTTTTTTTATTTTGTGGCACTAAATTTGGCAATTAATCAACATTCTGGGTCAGAAAATTTAAGGTCGGTTATGTACAAAATTTTTATTTAGTGATTTGTATGTTTTTTGACATTTTTTATTCTTTTTTACAAATATAACATTGATAAATATTATTAAAAATAATAATATATTGAAATTATATTTAAGAAACAGCATTAAAATAAAACATTTTTATTTTCCCCTGCCATATCTTAAAATATTACTTTCCATTTTGACGACTTAGCAAGATTTTGATTGTGAAAAATTAACAAGATAATAAATGCTGTAAAATACAGTTTCCAAACACTTTTTAGCAAAAGCAAGAAAAGAAAACTACTTTAGTTATATCAAAATTAATTTCATTTATCTTCTTTCATGATAAAAATTTTTTTCTGAGTAATTGTTTCAAAATATTTAAGTGTTTATCAGTTTTCTGCATAAAATTCACTTCATACTTTTATTTTCTAATTTCCCCCACCCTAAAAATCTTCTGCCTTTTTGCTCTTACAGATTTAGCAGATCTCTCCCCCCCCCCCAGAAAGGTTTATTGCACCTAGAAAGGTTAGATTTCAAGGCAAGATTTATAAAATATAAAACTAAAAATTATAGATTCCAGAAAATTCAGGAAAAATGTCTTCATGGTATTAACACGTAATAGATGTGTTTTAAGAAAGTTACAAAGAATTCTTGGAAGACCATGGAGGTAGGAAGTAAGAAGGAGTCGCCCTAAACAAGTTTCTCCGTACCCTGCTCTGAAGCACCGGCGATCCCTACGTGGTGACCAAAACATTGGGTCATTTACCATTGAGTTCTATGGGATTTGATGCGTTCGGGTGTAAATATTTTGTAATTACATCGCAAATATACATATAAATGTATATATTTTCTTTTTCTACAACACTTCAGAGTCCTAAGTATGTGAAAACAACATATTTTTAAATAACATTTCATTCTGAACGGAATTAAATGCTTATACTTTCACAGGACAGTTTTCTCAGAATGGTTTAATTTGAATGAAATATTTTCACAAGTTTTCGTTAATTACATTAGAAAAAAAAATTAAGGTAATTCGATTTTTTATTCGGTTAAGGTACAAAAATTAAGATCAAAGTTTATTGTATTATTAATATTAAAATTATGCATTATTTTTTTCTTTTCTATTTATAGAGCTTCTTCCTAAAATACTTTCTTAAATATGACATGATTTTTTGGCTTCTTTTAAATCGAAAAATGTAAGTCAATTTATAATTAATGCTCTATTCGGTTCATTTAAATTAGAGAATTATTAGGAAAATAGGTATTTGACTTTCTCTG